TACTTAAAATTAAAACTTATTTTTTATTAAATCTAAAATTTATTTTTTATTAAGCCCGGAATTTATTTTTTATTAAATTTTATTAAAGTATTAATTACGCGACGAAATAATATTATATATATATAAAAGTTTTTATAATTTATTATTATAAGTTTTATTATTATTTATATTTAACTTACGGAAAATTATATTTAATTTATAGCTTAAAAAAATGGTTAATATTAATTATAAATTAATATATAAACTTTTATTTAATATATTTTTAATTTTCTTAACCGTGGTTTTAAATTTATTAATAATTATATTATTCGAATTTTTAAAAAGTTATAACGTGTTTATATAATTATTAATGTTATTATTAACGAAATGTAAAATTATATTTTCGTTTTTATAATAAACGTATAATTAATATTTTAATATATAAAAATAATAATTAAAGAAAAAAATTTACGAAATAATAAAGCGAAATTTAAAAGTGTTAAATCGGGTATTAATGTTAATAATATTTATTTTAAAAGTAATAATATTAACTTTAAATATGGTAATATTTATTTTAAAAATAATAATATTTACTTTAAAAATGGTAATATTTTTTTTTAAAGTTATAATATCGGCTTTTAAAAGTATAACGTTAATTTTAAGTTTTATTACGTTAATTTTAAATGTAATAATTAATATTAAACGTGTGAATATTACTTTTAATAATATTAATATTTATTTTTATTTTTTAAAAAATAATTACGATTTATTAATTATAATTAATTATAAGTAAATTATCGTATAACGATAATTTATTTATAATTCGAAATATATATTTTATTATAATTAAAAAGTTAAATTAAAGTTTTAATTTTATAATATATATAATAAATATAAAATAAAAATTTAAAAAAATAATATTTAAATTAATAATTTAAATGAATAAAATTTTAAAAAAAATTATTTAAAAAAGCATTTTAATAAAAATAAATAATGAAAATTTTACGCGTTATATTATGTTAATTATATTTAAATATTTATCCTTATGTTTTTAATTTATAAAAAAAAATAACTTAAATTTAATGTAGTTAATGTATTTAAAAAAATGTATAAAGTATATATAAATTTAAAATAATTATTATATAAATAATATTTTTATAATAAAAATAATCTTGAAAATTATTACCGAATAAATTTTTAAATGTTTAAGTTAAAACTTTTTAATATATATATAATAAAAGAAATTTTATATAAATAAAAATTATACCATTTAAAATTAAACTAAATTAAGTTTAAAGTTATATATATAATTATAATTATTATATAAATATTTTTAACTTTTATTTTAAACATTATAAATAACGTTATAAATTAATAATAATGTAATAAAATATATTATTATAAATTAAATTAAACTAAATTAAATAAATTATTTCTTATAATGTAAAGTTTTTTTTTTTTTCTTAAAAATAATGTAAATTTTATATATTCGTTAAAAATTAAAAGGAATAAATAGTTAAATATTAAAACATTTATAATTAATATTATTCGCATTATATAATTTTAATTAATATATATATTATATCGAAAAAAAGCTTAATGTTAATTTAAATATATTTTAAATTATATTAAAATCTCATTATATATTCGATTAATTTTAACCATTTATAACTTAATTAATTTAACGTTTTAATTTTTTTAATTTAATTTAATCGAAAACGTTTAATTTAAATTATATGTTATTTTTTTTTAATTTTTAAACTTTTATTTAATTATAATATTTAAGGTTAAAAGCTAGTTATTACTTTAATTAATTTAAATTAATTTTAACTTAGTTTAATTTCAATTATAAAACTTTAATTTAATTTTTTATTAATTTTAATATAATTAAATTTATTCGAAAACGCGTTATAAAAGTAATTAAACTATTTTAATTATTAAATTTTTAAAAATATTTTAAATGTAAAATAATTAATTAAAAATTTAATATTACGAAAAAATATAAATTTTAAAATCGGGTTTAAAAGTTTAAATTACGATATTTAATTTTTTATTTAATATATATAAAATAATATATATACGTTTTACCGGCGTTTTTCCGGTTTTATATAACGTAAGTAATATTTATATATTTAATTATTTAAGCTTAATTTCGAAAATGTACAAGTTTATTAATAAATATTTCGATTAATTAAAAAATACACATTTAAATTTAAATTATATTATTAAAATAATAAAGTTTTTATAAAAACTCGGTTTTAATTAATTAAAAAAATATTATAATTTTATATTATTAAACATGATTATAAAAGTTATATATTTATTAAATACTTATTTATTTTATTACTTTTTTATTATATTTTTATTTATAAAAATTATTTTACGTTTAATTAAAAAGAAAATTAATGGTTAAATATTTATAAAATCGAAATTTAGTTTATAAAATCCCCGTTAAATTTATAAGGGTTTTATTAATTTTTAATTTTAAGTAAAAATAAAATAAATAAAAAGTTTCGTTTATATATATATCGTATTTTTTATAATAAAAGTAATTAAAAGTTTTTTACGTAATAACGTTATTATTTTTAAGTTTTTTAATTTTATTTTATAATTTAAATGATATAAAATAAAATAAATAATAATATATATACTTTTAATGTAATTAGTTTTTTAATATTTATATTAAGTTTAATTTATTTATTAAATAAACGTGTATATATAGTTTTAATATTTAACGGTAAATAATTATTATTTAAAAAAATAAATTATAATATTTATTTATAATAATTTATTTATTAAGTAATTATATATTTAAAAATTATTTATTTTATTAAAGAATATTTAAAATTAAAAAAACGTAAATTTAAATTATTATTTAAAAGTAAAATCTCGAGCGTAAAAAAGGTTTATTAAATATTAGTTTTTTTTTAAGTTAATAATTAAAGGTTTATAAGATCGGGATTAAGCCCGTAAAATCCCCGCAAAGGTTTTATTTATAATTAATTTTAAAAATAAAATAAATAAAAAACTTTATTTATATATATATCGTATTTTTTATAAAAAAAGTAATTAAGAATTTTTTACGTAATAATGTTATTATTTCGTAGTTTTTTAGTTTTATTTCGTAATAAAGTTAATTATTATAATTTTTATTATTATTATTATTATTATTATAAAAAAATTATAAAAATATAAAAAATAATATTTTTAATAAATTTAAAAAACGGTATTATATATTAATAATAATATTTTAAAATAATTAAATTTATATTTAACGTAATTTTTATTAAGTAAATACGTGTTTAATTTTATTAATAATACCGTTTTTTTTACGTTTTTTTTTTTTCGTTTTTCGGTAAAAAAGATATAACATAAATCGTTATAACGTATATTTAAAAATATAAATTATTAAATAAATTATAAAGATTTTATATTTAAATGTAAAATGTAAAGTTTAACTTAATACGTTTAATATATTTTTAATAAAATTTTAAAATAATTATATAAATAACGGTTTTTTAACGTTAATATTAATTATTATTATTATTATTATTTTATTTAATAAAAAGAAAAAATTAAATTAAATATGTTAAATTAATAAATAACCTTTTTCGAGGATTAAATATTAATTACGAAGAAAATAGTATTAAAAATTTAAATAATAAAAATATAAATAATAATTAATAAAAATTATTCGATTTTTATTTAAATATTATTATATTTATAAATTTTTTTAAATATTATCGTATTTTACATTTAAATAAAACTTATTATTAAAATGAAATATATTTACTTTAAAATAAGTTAAAAATTTAACATAATAAATATTAATTTTTCCTAATTACCTTTTAAAAATTAAATACTTAAAATAAAAGGTTTTATAACTTTAATATTTAATAATATTTATTTAAAAAAAAAAAAGAATTTAAATATAAATAATTAAATAATTTACTTTTTTTTTAAAAGCTTATAATTTTTTTTATAACGAAACGATTAATTTTATTAACGTTAATTCGCGTTAAGCTTCGAATAATTACTTAAATATAACGTTAAAATAAAAAAATTAATTAAATAAGTAAATTATAAAATTCGAATATTAATGTAAAATTAAAAAATAAAGTAAAAAATAAATAATATATAATATATATTTAATAAAAAGTAAAAATAAGTTATATTTTTCTTTAAGTTTAATAAATACTTATTTATATAACTTTTATTTTATTTTTTCCTTTATTAATAAACCGTAAAATTTAATAATAAAAGTTAACGTCGTTTTTTTATTTTAATTTATTAAATTAAAGATTTTATAAAATAAAAAATATTCTTATTTATAATAAATATTTATATATTTACTTAAGTATTAAAAATATTATTATTAAATATTAACAACGTTTTATAAACTATAAAGTATAATGTAAGTTTTATATATATTACTTATTAATATTATGTACATTTTAATATATTAATTGAATTGGCGGGTTGGCGGATACGGGCTTATGGTTTACCTTATGTAGTTCCAAATGCGCGAAAGAAATAATAAGGTTAATTAATTGTAGTTTGAAATCGAATTGATTCTGCATAGAGAACGTTGTAACATTAAGTTTGGTGGCGTGAGTTGGCTTATTGACTACTTGGGTACTACTTAGGAACTATTATGATAGGCACCATACTTCCGCTAGTTCAAAGGATGAACACTTAATAGCTAGCTAGACACCCGGCAAAGAATAAATGCATAGGCACCTGCATATTACCGTGTCTATCCAGAATATCGATTTCCTTCGCGTATCTTCGTTACATGTCTCTGCTCCAATTAACTTTTCAGAACTTGTCGAATATCCGTCAATAACAGGCTTCACAATCTAAACACTCGCCTGCTACACAAACAGCAAACCTCAAAGCCACCATCACCATGTATAATTCATATAAACACATCCCATCAAGATCGCTTCCCCGGAACATTGAGATCAACAATGAAAGTCAATCTTTGAAGAAGCTAGAAAGTTTCTCTCTATTTATGAAATTACCACCGGAGATTCGCATTGATCTTTGGAAGATGGCTGCTGGACCGAAGCTTAAGGAGCTTTTCGAGCTAAAGCCACTCGATTCCGAAGACCTTTTGCCACCGGAAGGGACACAAGCCACGTTCAAGGTCAAGATGGATAGGTCTCGTACGAATATAGCGCAAACATGCTACGAATCTTGGGAGATCCTCCACGGTCCTCCGAAAGTCTTCGACTGGCCTCTTACACCTATGCGGACATACATGGACCCGGAACTCGACTATCTGGTATTCGAAAGTCACATCAGCCTTGCGAAATATTGGGTTAGACTTGAGGATATCATCGGAAAGACACGACACCTCATAATAACACCGGATCGGCAATGGTCCCTGCCAATCCTAGACGACATACCAGTGAATCCAGATTTCGACAACGGCTTTTTGTCTTCTATAGACTCAGTAAGCATCGTGATGTCCATGTTTCGAATCCCATCATCGGCGAATTATTTGGTTCGTGAACGATTATCAGCAGAGGTGCCCTTCGTCATCAGAATCGATGATCACGCCCAACGAACCCAGATGGGCACTATAATAGCTGAGTCTGTGGAACCGAAACTAGACACCTGGGACCCTATGATTTTGATGAGCACAATCTTCAGCACGACTAGGAACCAACATAATCTAAGGTACTCTTCGGGGGACTGCCTTAGAAGAATTATACGGCGATTCGAAGTTAAATTGGCTACAAGCAACGCTCGGGATTACAGAATGCCCCGCTTACACATCGTGGCTCTGTTTCTTGATCAGTTTGACGAGAGGCCGAATGTACATCTACTCGATAGAGATTGGGCCGTAGAATTCAACGAGAGGTATTCGCCACGGCCAAATTGATAGTCAGCGAATGTCATGGTAATGGGTGGCTTACACTCTACCAAGCCACTGGGGAATCTCCATGGTCAGATAGTGATGCGAATATTCGGGAACTTCCACGAAATGCCTTACCTACTAGGTACATATCAGGCGGCATAGGCTAATTGACAACGTATAGGTATGTCTTTTTCGGTGAAAAAAACATTGGAGGTGGCGTGTATGCGGAATGCGAAACCAGGGCAGTTTGGAGCGAGAGTAGACCAATAAAAAAGGGGGTGATAATGCAAGCCAACAGAAATAAGTGGTATCGAATGATAGAGACATAACTTTGAACTTACTATAGCCAGGTACCTGCAGTATAGCCACATCCTAAACCTGATGTCAACCTTAAGTAGCCTACCTCATACAATTATATGCATGAACAGCTCATATATGCGGTGTCGATAGATTGTAACTAAGTAGATAGATACTTTTTTTCTATTGTGCGGCTATCCTTGACCGTATCAATCACGGACTGCATAGAGGACAGAGATTGAATGCATACTAAGAATCGCTGCTCTGCAAATATTAAGGACATGCTGGAATAGTAGGTGGCTGGGAGCCTACGCCCTATAGTCAAGGGGTATATATGTACTATCTAAGAACTACTACCTAGAACTGGCAACTTATCCAACTACCTAAGTAAGTAACCAACTAATATGATACTCACAACCTGCATATATTTCAACAGGAAATGATGAATTTCAATCGGGGGACTGTAATAACCTTCTTCAGGAGAAAATCGAAAGTTGATTACTGAGCAACATTAGTTAGACGAACTTGCTTCTTCATGCCTACCTCATTAGGTATGTAATCTCTAGTAAGCTTGATAATCTTGGTGGGTAGGACAGCCTGCCTTAGGTCATATTACCTACGGATGAGTTTCGTTTGAATATTATAAATCCGATATTTTATGGCGAGATAAACCTAACTGAAGCGACGCTAATCAAGTGCTTTTTCTTTTTGGTTATGAATACCTATGATGTATACAGGCTTAAGATGTGAATGCTCTCCTTAAGAAAGTTGTAGACCGCAGCATGGTCCTTTCAAGCAATGTAACCCTCTATATGGCTTAGATAATTTACAGCGCCACAGTAATTTGCTGGAATATAGTGATTGGGTATACAGCAATCGATATTGGATAGTCAGATTCTAGCATGGCAAATCTCGTAGACTTCCATATATCATTCTATAAACCCGTTGCCGCAAAACGCGGGACCCCCTATCACGCCATATAGCTACGGTGGTACGGTATATATCGAAGAGAGGTTTCTTCAGTAATTAGTCTGTTAAGTATTTATCTTTATCTCTTCTCATATCATCATATTAACAAAAAAATCAACTGTCATATACAAGAGACCCTCGACATCTGGAGAGCATTATCCCATCAGCATTGATAATTAAACGGGTGCATGGTATCATGGCGGACAATCGTCCTTCGCGCGAACGTCCGCACCCGGATGTTGTCATTAGCCAGACATCAGACGGTACCAGGGGTCGAAGTCGGGCAGAGTCATTCCAACGGATGGGGAGTGGTAAACAAAAACCATCGCCGCCAGGTCTAAGCCGAATAAGAAGCATTGGTAGAAATGAAAGATATGGCCGCCTTTATCCTACGCAGCCGCCCCAACATATTAGTCCGAATAGATCCGCCGAGGGTTCCCAGCATCTAAGTCCTAAGAGGATAGACCTAGCTCATGCGAGGAGACCCTCTCTGAATTTCGCTCGCTTGCCTCCTCTTACGACCGTCGCGTCTTCTGGAGAACAAACGGCAAACGATTCTCAGTATGACTACGTAGAGCGCTCCCCTGACGAAAGCGGGACTACTCAGGCCCAATTTGATACATCTTCATGGACACCCATAACGCGTCCATCTTCGGGTGCGTTCGGCGACAATATGTATCAATATCACGAGCTTCGGAAAATGGATTTTAGGCTGGTCCGGCTGTTCGCAACTAAGATGTCGACTATCAAATGCCAAATAATCCATGAATCATTAATATCCCCTCCGAAATATACGGCCATATCTTATGCCTGGGGGGACGTTGACGACAAAAAAGAAATACAAGTCAACGATATTACCGTTCCTGTTACAGCTAGTCTCTTCGGAGCTCTTCAAGCTGTGCGAGAAAGAGGAGAGGATAAACTTGTGTGGGTTGATGCGCTATGCATCAATCAACAGAGTCGAGATGAGCGAAACCAGCAGGTTGGGTTGATGACCGGGATCTATGCCCAAGCCGAAGAGGTCGCGATCTGGCTAGGACCAGAAGAAAATAATAGTAACCTAGCCATAGAATTTCTGGAAGAACTTCGTAGCGAACAGGGTTTCCCAGATCAGATTTCCGATTTAATATCGTCTCCGAATAAAGAGCAGGCTATCAGAGCCATGGTTTTGTTATTCCAGAGAGACTACTGGAACAGGTTATGGGTCGTCCAAGAAGTTTATAACGCAAGAGTCATAAAGGTCCTTTGTGGTTCCACGAAACTTCCATGGGAGACTTATAAGATGGCGGCTGATGCGTTCCGATATTACAAGGATGACCTGGATGCGTACTTCTCGGGGGATTCAAGTTCGCCGAGTGCGTTCGATTACGCCCAAGCATTGGCATACGAAGGCCCGAACAGTCTCCTGGCATCGGATTCACTAAAACGCCTCGGTGCAGATGCGCTCCTCAGCGTAATGCGAGTTTGCAGAAGAAAGCACACTAGTGAGCCTCGTGATCGAGTTTTCGGGATCCTAGGCGTGCTGCCAGAGAATGTGCGCGATGAATTCATAGTTGACTATAGCTTGTCAATTAAGAAAATCTATACCGATGTTATAGACATCCTTCTCCACGCGACTGAACGTCTGGACTGCATTTGTGAGGCGATTCATTTCCCAAGGCGGACTAATACCGCCAATTTACCGTCGTGGTTACCGGACTGGTCACAGAACTCGGAAATTACGGCGTTGGGATACTCGTTTGATTTCGCAGCAGGAGGAAATTCAAAGGCGCGACATCAATTTCTGAGAAATAGAAACGAGCTTGAGATATCAGCCGTGTATATCTCTTCAATCCAGCAACATGGCGTAGCTGTGGGTACTATGTGTACTCTAGCAGACTATCTGATGGCATTCCTGAACTGGAGAGCTTTGCTGCTCGGATCCGTTAGCCGAGAGAATAGTGAAATCCGAAGAATGGAAGAGGCGTTCTGCAGGACATTGTCTCTAGGACAGTTCCCTAAGAGATGGAAGGGTAAGCCGGAAGATTGGGTAACAACATGTTACCATGAATTTGCATCACATCTTCATAAGCGGCTCCCACAACTGCAACTGGATGATAACCTCCGGTCCTATCTGGATGCAGGGGTGAAGATAAAGCCCAATCCTCGTCAGTTTTTCCAAAGTAACTTTGGTTCGCGCATGATGGGGCGCTGTCTCTGCATCACTGACGACGGCGATATTGGGATGGGTACGGGGTTTATGTTACCCAATGATTTGGTGGTTGTTCCATTTGGTTGCCGGACGCCCATTATCATTCGGAAGGAAAAAGATAATCCTGGAAGATATCGATTTGTGGGAGACGTCTATGTCGATGGATATATGCATGGAGAAGCTATTAAGAACTGGGAGACTGGCAAAACAGAGCTCCACAAATTCGTGCTTATATAAGATATTGGAGAGATCATCTGATGAAGCGATAGGCACTCAGAAAAGTTGAATTGAGGCGGCATTTATCCTGTCTAAGTCAGATAGATTGCTGAAGGTAGACAAGAGCTAGCGCCACTTTGCATCGGCTTTCTGAGAAGACTCACTATCTACTAGGTAGGTACCCTCCGTCATAGTGAGGTTCGCGCAAGTAGAGAGAAGAACGAGACGGACGGTCGCGAGAATCCGAAGATGTGGCCTTACACCTTGGTGTATTGTTATGATTGAGTGTTGGTATATCATAGAAAATTCTTTAGATACCATTCTTCATGTGGATTTTACTTTCTGGTTACGTAGGTACCTAGGTAGATAGATAGGTATTATCGCTTCATACTGTTGTTGTTGGAATAGACCTATTGGAGACTCAGGAACTATGTAATAGGTACTGTTAGGTACCTAGGACCTAAGTAATCAAAAAAAAAAAAAAAAGAATAGGCTGGTTTAGTGCATGAAAGGTGACGTCACCGCCTTACGTAGGGCCTAGTGTGACCAAGCCACGTACCTAGGTACTCACCGCTCAGCTCATTTCCAGGGCAGTTCAAGGTTTCATTTTATTTTCAAACCTTCAACAACTTCAACTTCGCAATACTTATTCTTAATTCTCTATACTATTTCTCATATAGGTAATAATCATTATTACGTATCAAGTTCATACTAAACATGTCGCCATCTACATCGCCGCTAGAGACATCCGACAACCAAGCCGCGCAACCCGTCGGCCCGGCGGCTTTTCAGTCGATCCAAAGCACACAACCAGTAGCTCTTCAGGCCATGAGTACGTTCATATTAACGCCGTTCCGTCTTTTGCATTTTATCTACTATTTATTCATTCATTCAATCATACTAATTGTTGGTAGATCCGCAGTGTCCTCAACCCGATCAGCCTGAGATTGGAAACCTACGTGGTGGGGAACGCAGCTCCTGTTGTCCGGGACGCTTCTGCTTCTGCATCCCTTGTCCTTTGCCGTGCGACTTCTGTATTATCTAAACTACGATTTTCCCTCTAATAATACTTCTATGCATGAGTTGAACGAAGGCGTCAGTTATTATTTCGAACGCCAAAGTGGTTGCTTTCACGCTTATCGGGCCGTGTGTCTAGGAAACTTGTTTCTAGTCTAGCCAAAATGAACATCTTCTGTCATAAATGCCCTCTTCATATACCTATCGAGTTCTAGATAGCAGTGTTTCTTGGTGAGAATTTACTTTGTTATTGCGAATACTCCTATGCGCTAGTTCTAGCTGCCTGATATGTTCTTATTCGGGTCTCATAGCATTCTTCTGGATTTTCAATATGCCTTCTCTCCAGATTCTCCTTCACTAGCTGGCATATTAACCAAAATCTGCTTGGATTGAAGAGGTTTTCTAGTGCTTTAAACGATTCACTTCGGCTGGGGAAGACCATAGCGATATATCATTAGGCAACGTCCTAGTGTGAGGTACGGTGTAAGAAAGCAAACCGTCCCATAACTTGACCCTAACCCCAACCATAACCCTGAACATATGATTATGTAATGGCTGTGTGATGACTTCTCTGCTTAGTCCTAAGATTACAAGATTTGAAGATGAAAGGAAGGGTTCTTTCAATCAGAGTAGTGTATTTTTCTTTTAGCGCACCAAGCTGAAGGAATATTGAATCGTAGTATAGTGTTTTGTTCTCTTAGCATGGACCTTACGTCATCATGCTGACTGATCACTCATCGATGGACTTCTTATAGAAGTTCGTCAAGGTCTCTCACCTTGGACCTCACCACCTTCTTTAGCACCTACACTACTATATACACTCTTTACACCTATGTTTACTCATGATCAGTGACCTATCATGATGATGTCTTACCTTCAAAGTCTACGGAAGCGTATTTGAGGATCTCACGATCTGTGGCTTATACCTCTGTAGTGCAGAGCTACCACGCTCTGGTTCAATATGAACACCGGTGTATGGATAACATGGCTCGCTACTGCGTATTGACAATGTGGGCGATTTATTCCTACTAGATAAGATTCTAGTTTATTAATAGTCAATTAGTTAGTCTCATGAAATGCATTTTACCCTATTTAGTGAATCCTCTGACAGCCTCCACGGCAGCCGTAGTATCAAGATGGAAGTTTGGATAGTTAATTCCATGCGTAGATACTAGTTTCCTCGTCTCTAGCGGTGTTATCCCAAGACCAAAATTCCCCATTTCCACATCTCTAATGTTTGAACTATCTCTAGTTGATATTTCAGGTTCATTTGATAGAGAACTTTCACCCCCTCGGCGTTGATTCCGCTCCGCGAGAGTGAATACCGGGTTCCAATTTCTATTATCCCCTAATTCTTCCTTGAGAGGATAGCCAAAACCAGCCATAACCAATGCCCGGCGAACCCACCGAGGGCCGACGTTCGTAAAATGCCACTTAGCAGGATACGGATCGGCCCAGCGTTGAAGTTGTGCTCGAAGCTGGACTAATCCACCAATAGCGCCGGTGTTTATGTTATTTACTGTGGCAAAGTCGAGAATTACGGCTTTAAGAGTTGGTTTGGAGGCTTCCGTATCGGGCCCGGAAGAAGGGCGTTCATTCCAGAGGCGATCCTATTATTCAAGTCAGTAAACACACTTCTCTTGGTTGTTATGGTATAAACTTACACCAGGACTTTTGTATTCCAGCGTTTGTGTACGACGAGTTTGTTTGGTTATGTGCGTCAAAAGTCTTTCCATATGCTGGGTTTGGTTCATGTAGTTAAACCCATCCGCAAATCGATAAATAAATACTCCAGGTCCTGGGGATTCGACATAAATAGATGGATTGGACGCATCTTTTCGGTCAAGTGGAAGAAATGCATCCCTTGAAGGCACATTCATCTTCTGGTCTAATATGGTACGTGAAGTAAACGAAGAGCTGCTAACAACAGATCTTTCTTCAAGGGACTTCGTATATTGATGAACACGAACGCGGCCCATAAATCGTCCCGGCGTCTTAGAAATACGTATTAAGAGGAACATTGCTGATGTGATAATAGTAAGGTAGATCCCGTTTTCAAGCGAGCTGAAGATAGAGGTGAGAACACCAGCTATGTATATGATAACATCCAGCGGGGATATCATCCATAACCTATACATCTCGGTGGGAGGCTCGATTAAGTTGCTCACGGCATGTATGATGAGTGCCGCGAGACTAGCTTTTGGTATCCAATACAGGACAGGCTGCAAGGCAAATAGCGTGAGAATTATGACAGCGCCGTTGAAGATTCCAGCCAGGGGCGTTCTCACACCAGCTTTGGAAAAGACAGCACTTCCGCCAAATGATGCTGTCGAAGCATACGCCCCAATGAAAGGACCAGCAATGTTAGTGGCAGCAAGAGCAACTAACTCTTGTGATGTAGAAATTGAATAACCGTTTTTCCGGCCAAATGACTTTGCAATGGCAACATGCTCGATTATGATGATGATGAGGGCAGCTGGAAGCTCCGGGATCACAGCACCTATCAAAGCGACTTGAAATGTTGGAGGACTAACGTTACTGAAGCCTGTTATGTGTAAACTACGTGTTAATATATATAATAGGGCATATGAATGGATTTACATACCAACAGGGATTTTCCCAAGTAATTGAAATTTAACCTCATTGAAAGGGGAGTTCCTGTTTATCAAGAAACTGATAACGATATAGAAAGAGATGGCGAGTAGAAACCGTAGACAGGAAACTGTAGCGCATATCCTTTCCCTTTTTTTCTTGCGGAGATCTGCTTGGCAGTCTCCTGAGGCCTCTTCTATGTGGGTGTGTCTTCTAGTCATATACTCGCAGATCCACTTCACGAATATTAATAATATCAGTGTAGTAACTCCTATTGCCGCATCTACCTTGATCCTGCTGAGACCTTTGCAGGTATCAATGAAGACTTGATAAGCCGGTCCTCTCGTGTTGATGCGGCTTATCCCAAGCAAAGGTGGTATCTGGCCGCAAATAATAGTAATGGCGGCGGCTGTAACAAAGGCCGACGTAGCAACATGAGGAATAAACTCAAGGATGTAACCTAACCTGCAAATTCCAAGGAAGAGAAAAATGCAACCAGCCAAGAATGCGTGAGTCTTTGCAACTTGTTCTTTTGCGAACTCGGGATGTTTTTCGATAACATTCGTACTTGATTTTCCCACGAGGAGGGACACAACAGCTGTACTCTTGATCAATATTAGTATTGTCCTACCCCTGTATATATCAGATATCAGGAATATTTCACTTACCCCTATAGCAACATCTTTAGACGTTCCGAATATCCAATAAAGAAATGCGCCAGTCAAGGTAGTATATAGGCCATATTCTGGGCTCAGGTTCGCGAGTGTTGCATATGATAACCCCTGAGGAATCATTATAAGGGCGAGTGTAAACCCTATCTGAAGTCAACAAAACCAAACTAGATAGACCATATGGTAATCAGACACCTTACCAGCAATTGCATCCGCAAGTAGCCATTGGGCGTTATACCGTCGGACCCATTGGGTAAAAGGAAGCAGACTAGAGAGATATGTAGTGATAACGGTATTTTTTGGATTTGATGATTTATGGACATATGGAAGTGTAATAGTTGGAAGTTCTTCGAGAAAGGGTGGAAACGGGTGAATAATTTCAGTGGTTCTTTGAACAAGGCCTTCGGGAATACCTTGCTGGTGTTCGTCGAGGTTTATACCTAGTCCTCTAGCCAAGAGTTTACCGACTTTGAGTTCTGACATTATCATGAAGTATCATAGTGGAGACCACTTAAGAGCTCATTTACTTCCGGGTATGGAAATAAAAGAAGGAGCAGAATGATAGAGAAGGCAGCCGAGCATAGATTGTTGATTTCTGCCTATCTAAGGTATATTAAATACCCAGAAAGGCCTAAAAAGATCCATTGGGCTGAGTACCAGTTAATGTAGAGAGGTAGTTTAATAATGAGATGTGATGAGTAAATTCGTACACACCTAACCACCTGGCTCAATCACAAAGATTAAGCAACCGCAGTGAATTCCATAAAAAGCATTGCCAAGTATGAATCAGTTAAGTTCGAGAAAGGTTGCCCATGATTTTACAATTCCAAACAATAAGAATACCAAGAAGAAAACGCCAAACATAGAGAAACTCACCAACGAGAAAACAACGGTGACTGTATAGGTAGAGTCGAATTAGCACCAATCCCACCCGAACCAAGAGGATATCTTATTCATCCAAAACTAATTCAAAGCTATATAACCATGTTAGCACTCAGACTAGCGTAATATCTCATAGCATATCTTTGTTCGTGTTAAGATTTCCCTGTTAATATGCCTAGGTACCGACTTTAACTGGGCAGCTTCACCGGTTGGCTCTTTTCGTCCCTTTTTACAAACATTAGGTATTGTCTCAGAGTTCCATCGCTTTTCAATCAGTGACTTCCTATCCTTCATCTAAGTACATCATCAGCGCGTTTCTTATAATAGCGTGACCTAATATCGTATCTACATACTTGGTGAGGTACTAGATTATTAACTGTTTTAAGTGACGGCTGAGTAGGTAATGGGAGTCCTTACCCCTATTTGCTTTGATGACTAACGATTTAGTAATAGATTTACAAAGCTGACATAATCAGGTAGTATTAGGTACCTTATCATACCTTACATAATCCAATTCATCTGCATTATTAACCAAGAAATCTGTTAGTACAGTATAACTTCTACTATAGAAATCATATCTACCTAGGTAAGTCATAATCTCTTGGACTGAGACCTATGCTTCTCTCCAATTCTAGGGTACTACCCCTTGGCGCAGTTCTGTCCACAGAAGACCAACCGCTAAAACCGTACCAACGTTTCCTGATAGAAGAGATCGCCAACCAAGAGCCCAGTCTAGGCCTAGCAAATCCAGAGAATAAAGTCCAACATATTGGAAGACAGGCACATATGACACCGGTGCAGCAATGCACAGTCGTCCATACTTCCGTTTTACTAAACGATGGATTGCGACTTCCTGGGACATAACTGAACGCTACTTTAACGAGACCCGAAAGAATTACACTTTGACTCGTTAATTAGACTTGGACTTATCGTCCATTGAGCTATTGGAACTGCAATCACTTACAAAAGACCCAACAGGAAGACGGCGGCCACAGCGATCTTCTTGCTCGTATTCATTTGTAACCCGACAACTAGCCTGATAGGCATTGCAAGTATTAACACGTCGATTAAAGCTTCGACAATGCCAGTCGCCAGCCAGAATATGTTATAGTTGAAACAGTATCGTGGATCAGTCAGAGCGTTGTTCCATGTCCATTCGATTGGGACACAATCTAACAAATCCGCCGCAGTACATCCCATCCAGAATCCTACCACCAGAAGAGATAGGATGAGGACCTGGCGACGAAATGAATGGTTTGCTGAGAATAGGCGTCTATACATGAGGAGGATAGACAGCTTTGTCGCAGAGATGATGGTATAGTATAAGATAGTGGCAATGTAGTTGACCTTTGTGAACCATATATCTTCTGGGGTGAATTCATAGCTTGGGTCTGCGTTCGAGGCCACCACGGCCCCGTTCGGGTCCACGCTACTTGCTGAGATTGATTATTGTTATTATATATAATGCCGAGATGGATCTATAGGGGAGAAAACAAACCTACTAAGACCAAAATGTCGGTGATAATAATGACTATCAACGCCAGTAATATTAGCCAGTCATCCCATTCAAAGCCAGCCTTAGTATTATATCTCGCATAGAAGCGCGATACGACACATAGGATAGCTAAGACAACTAGTATAACCCCGATAATAATTGCTATCTCATCGTCGTCCATGTTTGTCTATGTAGAGACATATTAGGGAGATAGCTTGATGAGTTACCTACCTACCTAGATAGGGTATAATTAAAAAATTCAATCGGAGGGGGCATTCGCTGTAGAAAAACGATTATCGCCGAGAATACGTGTCACTTCTTGACTAGGTACCTACCTAGGTACCCGCTACTACCCAGTACCTAAAATCAAAATTTCGCCTCGTCTAGGCACCTGGAATATTTCTGGGCGAAAGGCGAGGTGAAGTCATTCGCTATAGACCTCGTACATCGAAAACGCCGAATGGGCAGAATTAAAAATGCATGTCAGAGCTATTGTCATCAGATTCGGATGACACTGAGGTACCTACCTAGGTATTTAGCGGGGTTCAGCGAATCGTAATAAGAGTGTGGTCGTACAACAGTTAGATATTTTATCAACCTACCTAGATAGGTACCAGTAAGGATGTTATTTTAATGAATTAGAAGTTTGTACGACGGGAATAGGGGTTTTGATTTGTAGAGAAATCATAGAAGTGGGTCCCAGCGCAGAAGTTGTCCTACACATCTATACGAAGTACCTATGATAGGTATTTACCAACCTCGCAACTTAATTCACCTTTCCTTCCTTAAAATGTAGAAGCATTCGCCTTCTTTCACCTTAGGTATATTGTCTTCTATGCCTACCTACTTACTAGGTACCCAGTGTTTACCTTAGTAGCGTATACCTTACCTAGTTGATAAGCCGATATCTACCTAGGTACCATGCATCATGGGGAACTTCTTGTCAAATGAGTTTCCTGTAAAAGGTAGAGTAGGTACGTAACCTAGTGAGTTTTCAATTCATAATCAAGATTCACAACTGAATTTCTAAGACAGTAGTGATCACCGGAGGTTCGCGTGGTACCGGACTTGCAGCGGGTCGCATACTTGCCGCGAAAGGGGCCAACGTCGTGATTGTGGCTCGTAGACAAGACAAGTTACTTGAAGGAGTTCGTCATATCCAAGTAGGTTTAAGGATTCTCTATTTTTCCACTAGAAAATAACTGACGTGATAGTAGAAAGGCGCATTGAATCCTGAAATCCAGCGTTTTCATCAAATAAGCGCTGACTTGGCTTCACCATCCGAGTCTATACGTGTTATTGATGAAGTGCTATTGTGGAACTCGGGCAATCCACCAGATATCGTGTGGTGTTGCGCAGGTTCCTCACACCCAACACTGTTCATAGATACGCCTGTGTCGCAGTTCCATTCAGAGATGGACAACAATTACTTCACAAGTATGCATATGGCACATGCGACTCTTAGGTGCTGGTTGAGAACATCAAGACCAGATGTAGGCAGTCCCTCTATTGCCATCAATAATTCAGCCACCCAGTCTAGCCGTGTAGTCCCTGCACGCCATCTCATTTTTACTGCCTCCTTTCTAGCATTCTACAGTTTCGCCGGTTATTCCCCATACAGCCCGTCAAAAGCCGCTTTGCGCTCTCTTTCCGATACACTATCCCAAGAAATGAACTTATATGCTGCGGCATACCCAAATGAACCACACGTCCGTGTTCACACTATATTCCCCGCAACAATATTTACCGAGTCTTATGAAGCTGAGAACATAATCAAATCCGATCTCACGAAAATGCTTGAAGAGGGTGATGCCGGGCAAACGCCAGAGGTCGTTGCCGAAAAAAGTATCAAGGCGTTAGAGATTGGACAAGAGATCATCACAACAGATATCTTGTCAACATTGGTGAAACGAAGCGTTCTGGGAGGTAGCATACGAGGTGGTTTCTGGATGGCAATTGGAGATTGGTTTCTCGCATGCGCATTGTCCATTGTAATGGTCTTTGTAAGACATGATATGGATCGAAGGGTTAGGAAGTGGGGGCGTAAATTCGGTGCATCGGGAATGAAAAGCGGCCATAAAAGAGCATAAGTCTATACTATCACATTTACGGGAAAATAATCAAGAGTTATTGTCAGCCATTCCTGTGAAATCCTCATACATGCCTACCAAGTAAGTAATTAGGACTCTCCCTCCAGACTAAGTTAAGTACCGCACTCCTGTTTCCCTATAAACAATACAAGGGGCTACAACGCGACCACTACCCGACGATTTGAAAGTATGTCCTTTCAAATCTCAAATCTTGTATAAACCAATCTTTGCCCGTCCGCCGCCAAGTTTCATGATAGTAACCCCCGCCTGTGGTGTGCTGGATGTTTGGTTCTTTCATACCGGCGTGGTAGATAACAGTCCAAATGACATTCACCTCATCGGGATTAGTCTGTTCTAACAGCTCCCCTGGCCCGATCAAGTGAACGCACTGCACGTTCTTCCCTTCAAAGCTTTTAATAAATTGAGCTGTAGATGGAAAGTTGTATTCGAGCCCTCCATCGCCGATGAAAGTGCCATCTTCATTGTAGAATTTGAAGGTGGCTTCAGGTAGCGCCACTTTCGTCATATTTTGCCATTGGTTAGTGTCGGCGAAGCGGCAGTACTGTAGTTTCTTTCGAGTGATGACATCCCTGATATCGGCGGAAATAGGCTCCTTTGGTCGAGTGTTAATGATACTTTTGAAGAATTCCATCATGCGTTTTGAAAATCTTAGCGGTAGATAGGTATATAGTAGGTAGTGGTTTCTGTTCAATATTGAATTTATAACATAGGACATTCAAGGGTAGGTACCAAGTAGGTCTTACCTTTATATATTCAATTGACCCCCATCAATGTATCCAAAACCATTGCACCGTTGTTTCCTACAATATGCTTTGAGATGGTTGCAGCCAATTACTCCCAAAAAGCAAAAGAGGGTGGCATGACAACTGACGAAACAAATTCGATCATTTGGTCTATGCAAACGAATGATACCTACTGTTCCATCGAAATACTACCATATTCCCATGGTGACAATTGGCAACAGCGGCAGTTAACCCACGGAGGTGAAATATGAGGCGCTTACTGACCTGAGCAGAAAATAATATATCCATAGATACCTGTCACGCGGAGGGTAGGCTTACCTGGAAAAGTTTAGAGCCAATAAATCTATAGACCAATGAGCCTTCAAATGCCAAGCTCTAGTGTCCTGATATGAGTATAGAAAAGCAAAATGGAGTAGAATGGTGGACACAAGTAAGCCCGCTAAGTTATTCTAGCCTATTTCCTCCCGGTTTTATCAGACTTGACCCCCTCTTGCATCTGGCTACCATCCCCCGGAACCGTGGGTGTCGAGAACCCGGAACCATACTTGCCTTCTTTCAGACGATGTTATGCCCACACTCCGTGTTACGAAAGGATATTGCGTATTGTGTCGTACAGATCTTATAGACTGATTTCTTAATCACATAGGTACTTGTGCTACACACCTTTAAATTAAGCGTGTTCGATTAATCGAAATTACGATGAATGAGATTCTTATTTCGCTTACCACTCGTTAGTAATCGTATGGTCTCCCATTATATCGTGAATTAGTCCTGTTACAAATGTTTAAAAGGCCTTTTTGAAAAACTAGTCTTTGAAATTAGATAGGTACCTATCTATGGAAGGGCTAATTAGATAATCATTTCTGTCCGCTTTGCACATTTACGAATAATCAAAGGGGTGTGCACTGTGTGGTTCCTTCTGTGGCGGTTAAGGTGTCTAAGTTATAGTGAACATCCACTAAATTACGGTGGACAAAATCACCATTGGGTAGGTACCTAGGAGGTAGGTAGGTAAGTAAATTGGATGTTTAACCAGTGCCACTTGTAGCTAACAGAAAACATAGAATTTTCATATTCAATCGCACAGTATTTATAGCTTCTACGTAGGTCGTGTAATGGGATATTTATGCTCATAATTTGCCGATTGACCTACAAGTGTTTAAGCATGATTTTACTTTCTATACCCTTTTTTAACAACATGTTTACCTATTTACCTGGTACCTATCTAGGTGCTTAGTACCTTAGGTACCTACCTAGGTAATATACGGTTTCCCATGTTCACCAAAATATTATCACCACTTGTGATTTATCTTTGGTCTTTGCTTCAGTCATAACCAACAACCCAATAGGTATCCATGAACATCCGTTGAAACCGCGTTCTAACAACTCATACTCTAACAAAGTCCCACTTGATTTTCATGCAAGGGATAGATACATTGAGATCACGACAGATACCATGTTAAAACCCGAAGTTTCTATCCCACCAATGTACAAATAGAAAGTTATAACAGCTTTTGGGCAATAAAGTGTTGTGCATGAATTGTGACAAAGTCTATCAGAATATCACATACTTACCAAATTATGCCTAAATACATTAGTAGCTAAGTACATAGGCATTTGAATACCTAGGTAGGTATGTCTTTAGTATAGCCCCTAGTACAAAAGGGATGCGGAGTTATACTTAAAGCACGCCAAAAGAAATACAGTTAACCTCCAACGGTTTACTCGTCTCTTATAATTACCCTTCATACTTCTTTATGCATATTATATTCATCGTCTGTCCTAAAGTTGCTATTGATACTAGAACATGCCATCGCCAAGCACTATGGAAGGTGAAATCCAATTCGATGTCCCTGGCACATTGAAGCCATGTAAAAACATGGTATTAGATCGTCCGAGATTTAAAAATTCCGCCTCTCGTCTCTCTTCATGGAGGCTTAGGTGCTGGCCATGAATATCTGTCTAGTCTTACCGATTTATACGAAAAGTAGAGCATCCCGATCATCTATTATGACCAAGTGGGATGTGGTCGTTCTACTCGGTTCCCGGAGAAGATGAGGGATGATTCTTTCTGGACGTTCGATCCATTCATCCAGGAATTGGAGAATCCTGTGAAGCACTTCGATTTACACCAGTTAGAATTTTGAAAGCTCAGAGTATGAGAAGGCAAGTGGTGTGTTCTACAGCCAGCATGTGTGCAGACTTGATCCTTCCCCCTCACCAATCGCGGCAGCATTTCAGCATCTTTACGAAGACCCCGCAGCATATAACACAATGTAAGCTTTCTATGTATTTCAAATATCAGCGGCGACTAATATTTATATGAAGACAAGGACCATCAGAATTTACCATTACCGGTAACTTCAAGGATTGGGAGGGGTGGAAAGAAGCCCACAATATCAATGTCCCAACTTTGCTCGTGAACGGAAAATATGACGAAGTTACAGATTCTTGTGCCAGGACTTGGTTCAATACCATTCCTCGAATTAGGTGGGTGACGCTAGAGAACTCGTCACATATGACTCACTTCGAAGAGTGAGAACGATCCATGGAACTTTGTGGGGGGGTTCCTCCGCGGCGACTGAAGTACATATTGGCATAGCCTTCAACAAAGTGATATCATTACGTTACCTACCTATATTTAAACTATGTTGTCAAGTTCAGCTTCAGATTTTAGCCAACGCCAACACTGCTTATCCCTCGCGGCGACTTACAATCTTATGTTGGTTTTCCTGCATACATTTATTGATATGTCTTTCTAATCATCAATCTTACAATAGTACCGAATTCCTCTAACCAACAATGTGTAGTTGATACCAACAGTCTCTTGGCACCTACCTGGGTGGCCATCTGTTTTTCTGGTGCGTGACAACTTCCACGGGATTAGACGGAGCCTGCCTTGCGTGGGTACTTATCTAGTGCCTTGAGGCAAAATCCCCGAGAATCCTATATCCACTTCCACATTTCCAAACAACGCTCAAGGACCTCCACGGCTTGATTTTGATTTGACGAACGGCGCTCTTATTGCCGTTTGGGGAAACACAACAAATGGATCGCTATGTGCCACCTTGATTCGCCACAAACAATCATAAACAAGCGCAACAAAGTTTGATAGGTTAGCCTTGTGAAGAGCTATGATTTCACTATACTTTTATTGGGGTTTATATTGAATTAAAAATGATATTTCGTTTTAAAGATAAGTGAGAATTGAAGTGGTAATTTTGGATGAGAGCCACGATGCGGGGTAAGGAATCCCCCACTTCTAATTAGTTCAGACTATACGTACCTAGGTACCTATTAGTCACGTGATCTAACCGCTGTTAACAACCCCACTCCATCATGAATTTTTTTTCAAGACAGTGAGTGGGGTGGTGTGTTTTTGAAGCACTGTGACTGAGGCTCTGACCCCCAATTTTTCAGTTGAAAAAAAAATTACAGGTGTCAAATCTGCGGGGCTACAACAATCTAAACCCTCAACCATCAACCCTCAAAGTAATTCTATCATAATCAAATCAATAAAAATGCATCTCAAAAGCATTCAGCAGCTTGAGCTGCCTGCTACGGCAGACATGCATGTCCATTTACGACAGGGTGAATTGATGGAGTTAATGGTCCCTACCGTGCGTCAAGGCGGGGTTGACACAGCCTTTGTGTATGGCTTCTCATCCAAGCTCCCGAAGAGGGAATACATGAACTAACTAGGAATATAGCATGCCTAATCTTGTATGTCAGGTTTTTCCTTCATGTAACTTCACATATTTTCCTTCTATGGTTTCAGCTTTTATACCGTTAATTCTTCATCGTTGATGTATTGGATACTAATAGGATTGGATTAGGTACCTCCTCTTACCAATGTAGATCAGGTATGTACCTATGTAGTTATGAGAAAGTTATTTCTATGAGATATAAAGGCGGTTCAAGAAAGTAGTAACTAAGTCGGCTTAAGGTACTTGATTACCAATCTAAACTACGTACAATTGCCAAGGATGTCAACTTTTTGATGTCACTCTTTGTTAGTACCTCCCATATCCCTTAATCCTGTAAATATGTCTTCTTCTAACGCTCGCATAGCTTCACCCATCTATCACCCCAGATGTTATTGCGCAGGCTGCAGCGGCCGGGATCACTGGCGTGAAGATGTATCCTCAAGGAGTGACGACCAACTCCGAATCTGGCGTCTCCAACCTTGAGTCCTTCTATGATACTTTTGCAGCTATGGAGAAACACGGGCTAGTACTAAATCTGCACGGGGAAGTCCTCGAATCTCTCGCGCCGAAGGACGTAACGTTAGAAGAGGCCTTTCTTCCAACCCTCAAGACGCTCCACGAGCGATTCCCGCAGCTACGCATCATGCTCGAGCACTGCACGACCGCAGCAGCCGTAGAGGCCGTGAGAGCTTGTGGACCCACTGTCGGTGCAACGATCACTGCTCACCATCTGTATCTTACATCCCATGATGCATGCTGCGATCCCTTTGCCTTCTGCAAACCGATCCCCAAGAAGCCAACCGATAGAGATGCTCTAGTTAGGACCATAGTCAGCGGCGACCCAAAATTCTTCTTGTGAGTTATCCTCCAACTCAACTTCTTCTCCTTTCTTAAAGTTGTTTGCATATTAATTGATACTGCAGCGGAAGCGACAGCGCTCCTCATCCTCTCCAGTCCAAGACTTCGGCTGAGGAGGGCAAGGCGCCGGCGGGAGTGTACACACAGCCATTTGTGACACAACTCGTCATAGTAGCCCTCGAAGAGGCAATCGAGCGAGGAACAATTAAGGAAGAGGATGTGACACAGGCAAAGCTGGAGGGATTTCTTAGTAAGTTTGGAAGACAGTTCTATCGACTACCTGAGGCCTCCAATAAGGTCGTGTTAGAGAGGAAAGGGGAGAAGATACCCACGAGTATTCGCAGCGAGGATGGGAGTATCGAAGTCGGTATATCTAAAGTCGGAACGGATGTCTTTAGCTTAAGATGGGTGTAGTGACAGTATTTAGAATATGATGTTGTCGGTGATAGAATAAAAAACCAAAGAAAACGATTTTACTCAAGCAAACGCGCTCTTCCACATATCTTCCGCGGTTAAAAACAACTTCATCTCGCGCACAACAAGAGTATATTCACAGCTAATGGGGCTGTTGTGTACTACAATGCTTCTCAGTCATTGAGATATCTCTCGCATACCTAGGTAGGTAGGTATCGTCGTCACTATATGTAGGTATTGATGGAAAGAGCATTTGTTAGATATTACATAATCATTCATGGCGGTCCGCTTGCTTACTAATTGATTACTATTTTATTATTAATGAATTATTAATACGTTAAAAACTTGGGACTCGTACTTTTATTTACCCGTGCCACGTTTTATTTTATTTTAAATTCGTTAAGGTTTATTAATTAAAGTTAATACTTATTATTATTTTCCATTAATTATTATTTATTATTAAAATTTAATTTTATTACTTAAAAATGTTTAAAATATTTATATTTTTTATTCGATTTATATATAATTATAAGTTCGAATTTATTAATAATTTTTTATTTACGAGTTTTTTTTACGGTTTTAAAAAAAACCTTTTTACGGGTATTTTAATTTTTTACTTTTATAATTTTAAATAATTTACGAACGCGTTTTAAAAAATTATTTTTTTTTTATTTTATTATTATTTTTTTTTATTTAATAATTAATATTTTTTTTAATTAAAAAAGATTATTTTTTATAACACGGCGTTATTATTATAACCGTTTAATTATTTTAATTTTTCTTAAATTACGTTTAATTTAAATAAATTCGGTAATATTAAAAATATTATTTTTAATAAAACGATTAATATTTCGATTTATAATTAATATAATAATAATTTTTATTATTATAAAAGTTTTTATTTTTATAACGATTTAATGAATTTACCGTAAAATTAACGACGTGTTAATTAACGATAAATTTAATAAAAAGTTTTTAAAAAAAAATAATAATATTATTTTTATTAACCGTTTATTAACTTTTTATAATATTAAATGTAAATTAAATAAATAAATATTAATTTTTTTAAATGCCGATACGATTATATTATTTTTAAACGTTTATTTATATACATTTTATATATAATAAAAAAATTCGATTTTTCCGATATTTATAACTTTATTACGAATTATAATATTTAAAGTTTTAACGTAATAATATTTTAAAAATTAAAATATAATAACGTTTAATAATTATAATATATACGTAAAATTTAATAACATTTTAAAAAAAATAATATTATAAATATTATAATATTTAATAAACTTAATCGTGTAATATAATTCGTAACCGTTAAATATAAATAGTTTTTTTTTATTAATAATTTTTTTTATAATATATAATTCGAAATATTTAAATTACTTTAAAATAATTTTATCGTTTATATAATTATTAATATTTAAATAAATAATAATTTTATTATAAAATTTAAATTATTCGTATTAATTAATTATATAAACTTAATTAAACGAGATTAAAAAAATAAAAATATATTAATTAATAACGTTAATATATTTAATATTAATATATAATTTTTTATTTTTAAATATATTAAAATAATATATTTTTTTACGTTTCGTAATAATAAATTAATTTTTTTTTTTATTAATTTTAAATTTAATTTCGTTTATATTTTATATATTTTTAAATATAATTTTTTTTTTTAATTATTTTTTTTAATTTATTATAATATTTAATAATTTTAAATAAATTTTCCGACGTTTTTCGGTTCGTATTAAAAGTTTTTTAACGTCGTAAATAATATTTATAACGTTTAATAAATTTAATAATTTAGTTTTTTTTAACGGTAAATAAATTAATATAAATTAACGATATTTTTTTTCGAAATAAATAATTTATTATATTAATAATAAATTCGATTCGAATTACGAAATTTATTCGATTAAAACGATTAATATAACGGTAAATAACATTTTTTTTTATAAGCGAAAGTTTAATTTTAAAAACTTTTAATTTTATTTTTTTATTATTTTTATTTATTAAAATTTTTAACTTTTATTTTAAAACGTTAAATTTTTTAATAATAACCCGAATTTTACGATTTAAATAAAATTATTAATATAATAACGCATTTTTTAATTAATTTAACATTTTTTCGGATTAAAAACAGTTAAAACTAGCTAAAAAAGGTGGTAATAACTTTAAAGGTTTGAATTTTAGTGATAAATAATGGTTGGTGGGAAATAGTGGTGAGTACCAGCTTTAGTTAGTGAGCCTTAGCGAATCCAGAATAAAGTGGGGCGTGGCACGGGTAATATTTTAGTCGCGTGGTAATTCACATGTCAAGGACAAGGACGAGGACGCGGTCTTTTGTCAGACGAGTCTGTGTCATCACCAAACCCAAATTCCAACTGAACTCAGATAGTTCTAAATTAAGCCGTGAGTTTAGGTGAGCCAGTTTCAAGACTTTCATTTGAATTGTGGGATCTCCAAATCTCTTGCGCTAAGTACTATAATTACTTTCCTCAATCTTCAAGATTGTATGTAGACCTTAGTGTTTACGAAAATTCAGAATACCTAAACTACCTACTTAGGTACCTACCTAGCAGACAGGTATGCTTCAAGTATGGTATTATTATTCTCTATACAAATAGTTACGCCTGCTTTTTGACCAGATATCTATGATCTATAGGGTGGTATCATCGCAATATCTTTCAAATCAAACCGCTTATAAGCAGGAATATGCTCCGACCACGTATGGCTCAGGCCTGGACTACGTAAGTCCATCTACAACCTATTCCCAATCCTTCTCAACGAGCCACTGATCTTCCAACTTTAGGGCCGTCCCCTCTACAAGATCACAGTCTTGGTGACCCCATTTCTGACGAAAAATCTCACGACCAGCTTCGGCCAGGATCCAGAACGAAGTTGAGAAGCCTTCGGCGTTATAATAGTAAGGCTCACCTACACCTCCGTGCTGGCTATTTTGCCATGAATTGCGAGCATTCTTGTCATCGCGATATTTATATGCCCCCATGTCATTGCCAACATTGACGAGCTCTCGAAAGTACTCAACTGATCTGGCTACGCTTATGCTTGTGGTACCATTTACTTCCTCGTCACGTTTCTGCATCTCTTGGCCTTTATTTCCATCATTATGGCTCTCCGATTCTGCGTTCTGCCCTTCTTTCGGGGGTTTCTTTTGTTTCGTTTGGGGTTGTTCGTCTACCTTGGGCACCGGGTTTGGATCAATGAACCTTGGTGTTACATTCGGGTCGCGATACAACACTGCAAGATCCTCCAGTACTGTTGACACGTCGTTGATAATGCCCACACGACGATGTCGCATTGTCCACCCATCCATCTCCAATCTGGCATTCATGTCGCAATCGCTGCCGTAATACGGCATTAATGAATCCCAACCACCTACAGCGTCTAGCGCTGCTCGGTTCACTAATGTGAGGTGGTCATATTGGAACCACCGGAATGCCCAACGCTCCTCAGACTCCAACGTCCGGTTTAGTTCGCGAAGGCAGTTTTCGTAAATAGTTTGGTATCCGTCCTGGCCCGCAGCAGCGGGGCGCATTATATCTGCCTCATCCTCCTCGTTGTAGAAGTACCAGTCTCTATCCCCTGGACGCACGAGAGTATCAGGTCCATCCTCGAACGAAAATACTAATATGTCTTGGTGTGAATAGAAATAGTACGGCCATGATCGGGCGTGGGCGGTCGACAGGAAGAAGTTCTGCATCTGTGAGAAACTTAATAAAACGGGTGTCTGTATGACATTGACCCTAAGTTTGCGTAGTACCGCATGATCGAGGAAAAACGGGTTCTGTAGGCTGAGTTTGCCTTGAGCGTTGGAGTTTTGAACACCCGTGTTCTCAACTATAAAGATAGATTCGGGCGGCCAGCCAGCTGTCAAATAACTAATCACACACTGCAAGAGCATGGGCCATTGGCGTGTGAAGCCGATGAAGAGGGGCGGTGTATATGAGAGGCCATACTCCCGGTGAAGGCCAGGTCGGGGAATATTATACTCGGGTATAGGAGGGGGTGTCGTCGTCGGGTTTGAAATGAGAGGAAACGGGTCGATTACGGATTGCGCGGCAAAAGTAGGTGTTGGTTTATATTGAGGAGGTGCGTGAGTATTCGTCGGACGGTGGTTCTCATGTGTGCTAGGTTGCTTAGGTCCGCCGTTGATTATAGGTAGGTTTGGTAAGAAAATCTCGCTGACTCTTATTCCGCGGTATGAAGCTACCAGCATAAGGGCAAGAGTAACGAGTCCAATTGGAAGAACAAGTGATCGCAAACCTCGTGGGCTACCAACGAGAGCCATAGTTATATCACTAAAAGCTATGTTGTGGGGAAATGAAGAGAAAAAATGACTAAACCATTCTAATACCAGCTCTTCAGCCTCAACTTTTAGACGAACGAAAAAACCAAATAAGGAATGTTTCAAGTCAAAATTCTACAACGGAATGCCACAGTACATACAAATCAAACTCCGAAAGGTGGGTTTTTTTTATTAAAGAAAAAGGAAAGGGGTACTGGGTAGTTCTGACGCGTACTACTGACGGGGATTTGGGAAGATCGTAGCCCGCGTCATGATCTACAAGAGCCTTAACTATCCCGTCCTTGGCACCATCCCGTCCCTGCATTAGACCCAAACAAGGGCTAAATGCCGGCCGGGTAGCGTCATATGCACCTATATTTACCTACGAACCCATGCTATCAGCCATGAGGTAGTCACTGAGTCTGGGCAGTTCTGGGCAGCTGAATCGGAAAGGCTTCAATTAATTATCGGAGTGATTTATGAGGTATCATATGTAAGTCTTGGTACGCTAGACATTTTCCAAATCTCCATAGACCCTGTCTTTATCGTCTTCTAGTAGGCCTCTATCCGATACGAAGCAAACTATCCTCAATATTCTAACCTAGAATAGGTAGCCCGACAACCCGAGAAGAAAAGGCAGTACCCACACGCATGTCGGAACCCACCCACTCAAAACAGTTTAACCAGGATGATCCTAATGCTTTTTGTTGACATCGTAATGAAATGTTTTCTTCTTTTCTTCCCTAAATGCCGATTATTTTATGAAGTTTCAAATACATATTTGTCGAAATAACAGATCGTTAAGTAACCTATCGACTCGCATAAGAAAGAAAGTAATTGTTTATAACATTTATACGAATTTAAACATTTTTAATAAGTGTGTTTAATATTTCGATCGTAAAATTAAACGAATAAATACGTTAACGGATAATATTAAACGGCGGATTATAAAAATAAATCCGTTAATTTGTTAATTTAATTAATATATTAAAAAATATATTATATAAATATAATGTATAACGAAAATATATTATACTTTATAATTTAAAAATTAAAAAACTTATAAATTATAATACGTATAAATAAATATTTATTAAATAAATATAATAAGTTTTTTTATTTTTATAAAAATATTAAAAAAATAAATATTTATTTAATAATATTATAATAATTATTAATTAAATTAAACTTTATTATATTTAAATATTTAATAAATAAATAAATATATAATTATTATTTATTATAATATTAAAAATTATAATAATAAAAATAAATTAATTTAATTATTTTATTATGTTATTTAAATTTTTAATTATATTAAAATAAGCGAAAATTTTTATGTTCGAACGTAAAAAAAAAATAATTTAATATATTATTAATTTAAGTTTTAAGTTATTATCAATTTAACGATCGATTAAATAACTTTTCGAAAATAAATAAATAAATAAAAAATATATTAAATATAAAAATAAAAAGCTTTAATAATAACTTTTTAATAATAAAAAAAATAACTTTACGATTAACGAATAAAATATTAATCGTTTAATGTTTTTTTTAAAAAATAAAATTTTATTTAATAAAGTTTTTTTAAACTTAACTTTAATATTTTTTTTTATTAACGTAATTTTTATTTATTTTTACTTTTATTTTTTATAATTATATTTTTATTTTTAACTTAATTTTTTAATAATTATAATTCTTTATTTTATTTTATATTTATTTAAATAATAAACGATTATTTATATATTTTTAATTTTTTTATTACCCGTTTTACGTAAATAATAATATAATTTCGATTTATTTTAATTTAAAATATTTATATATTTTTATATATTATTAAGAATTTTTCGAACGTTATTAAATATAATTTAAATATATTTTCGGTAAAAAATATGGTTTTTTTTTATTTTTATAATTTAAAATAATAATTAAAAAATTAAATCGCGGTATATTTTTAACGTTAATAAAAATTTATTAAATAAAGTTAATATTATTATTTATAATGTTATTATTATTATTATTATCGTAATATAAAAAAAACGTGTTTAAATTAAAGTATATAAAGTTTAAAAAATAATTATTATAATTAATTAAATTTTTTTTAAGTTTAAAATATATAAAATAATATATATAATTTTATATTAAATTAAAAAACGTTGTTTTTAATTAATTATATTCGATTAATTTTTAAAATTAAGTTTATATAAAAAAAATTATAATTTAATATATTATTATATTTAAATAAATTTTAATTTTTCCGTTTTATATTATTTATAATTAAAAATATTAATATTTTATAAAAAACGTAATTAAATAATATAATTTATATTAAGTTTTATTAAAGTTTAATAATATTACGTAATAACGTATTATTAAAAAAAATATTTTAAATATATTATATAAAATTATAAATAAACGAATTTATAAAAATTAATATATTTATATAATTTTAATATTTAAAATATTAATTAATATAATATTAATATTATAAAAGATTTTTAAAAATAAAATATTTATTTATATAATGTTTATTATTTTTTAAAATAATTAAAACGATATATTAAACTTGTTTATTTATATAATATTTTATTATTTATTAATAAATTTTTTATAATATTTAAACTTTAATAATTTCGATCGTTTATAAATATTATATTTAAAAATTAATAATTTTTTATCGATTTAAGAATTTAAAGTATTATAATTTTTACGTGGCTCGTTATTTCGATTTTTTTTTACGTTTATTAATTAAATAATTTTATTTTTTTAACGCGTTATTAAATCGCTTTTTTTGTTTTTAAAATTAATAATATTAATAAAAAATTAATTGATTTTTCGTTTTTTAATATTTATTTTAAATTTTAACGAATAATTTTTATAAAAAAGTATAAGAAAATTTTCGATAAATACGTAATTATAATTATTATTATATTTTAAAGTAATAATTATAATGGCGGGGTTTATATTAATGGTTAAATTTTAATTATTTGAAAAAGTTTTATTTTAAGTAATTAAATTTTATTACGATTTTAATAAAATAACGTTTTAAGAAAATTAAAATTAACGGGTAATTTTATTAAAAATATTTCGCGTTTTATAAAAAACGGATAATATTTTTATATTAACGATTTGTGTTATATTTATAAAAATAAATAAGTTTCTTTTATTAAACGTAACCGGTTTTTTTCGTATAAATTTTTTTGAATTTTTTTCGTTTATATTATTTATTTTCGATTTTAAAAAAAAATTAAATTATTTTTATCGTAAATTAAAAGTATAAAAACTTAAAAATTTATAATTTACGATGGATAATTTATTAATAAAATTAATTTATTAATATATCGTATAAGTTATAAAACGTTTAATTAATATAAAATTTTTTTAAAAAACGTTAACGATAAATTAATAATAAAAATAATTTAATAAAATTTATAATTTTAAAACGTTTTAAAATAAAACTTTTTAAATTTTATTATCGCGTTATTTTAAAAATTAATAATAATAAATTAAATTAATTTAAGATTTTTTTTTATAATATTTAACTTTTTATCGGCGATAAAATAAAATTAAAATTTATATACGAATATACCGGTTAACGTTATATAAGTTAATTTTTTTTATCGTTTTTAAAGAATAAATTATTTAAATTTTTTATTTATTTTATAAATAAAAATATAATAAAAGTTAAAATACGGGAAATATAAAAATTACGAGGATTTATTACGAATTATACGTATAAAAATATATTAATTCGTTTTTTATATATAATTACGAAAACTTTAAAAATATTATTTTTAATATAAAGTTTTAATTTATTTTAAGGATTTTTATTTTTTTTAAATAAATTATTAATAATTATTTATTTATATTTAATAATATTTATTAACGAAATAATAGTATAATATTTTTTTATTAATTAAAATTTTTTAATAAATTTAATGTAATAATTATATTTAAAAATTTTTTGTTAATTAATTTAAAATTAATTTATAATATTAATATTAAATTAAGTTTATAAAGTTAAATATTATTTTAAAAAAAGAATTAAAATGTTATTTTTTTTTAAATAATATTTATAAAAATAATTTTAATTAAGTAAGTTTAAATTTAATTTATATATTTTAAAGTATTTAATTATTATAAATGTTATTTTTATTTTATATTTGTAAATATAATATTTATAAACGTATGAAATAATTTTTAAAATTATTTTATTTTTTTTTATCGTATATTAATTCGTTTATTATAATATTTTTAATATATTTCTTTTTAATAACGTATTATTTATTTAATATTTACGTATAAATATTATTTATATAAATTAAAACGTTATTATTTTATTTATTTAATTTATATTTATTTTATTTATTATTAATAAAATTAATTTAAAGTTATATATATTAAAAGAAATTAACCGGCCCGTATTTTGCTATAAAGGATATATCGAAATTATAATACGTAATAAATTAAATAATATATAATAAATTCGATAAAAAAAAAATAAACTACGGGGTTAGTAAATTAACGAGTTTATTATATTTTTTTTTATTTTTATACTTATTTTTAACGAAAAAATAATAAAAGTAATAATAAAAAAGGTAAATTAAACGGTTTTATTTTAATAATTATAAATAAAAAATATCGTGTAATAAATTAAAGTTATTTTTATAAACCTTTAATAATATATATTAATAATTTTTTTTATATACGTTTAAAAAATTTATAATAAATAATATTATTTTTATAATTAATTATATTATTTAAATAATATTTAAATAAGTAAGTAAATTATTTATAATACGAAATAAATTTATATAAATAATTAATATTATATATAAAAATATTTTATAAACATTAAAAAATAAAGAAAATTCGATTTTTATTTTAAAATTATCGATTTAAATTTTATTATAAAAAAAATAAATCGTTTCGTATTACGTTCGTTTCGTTTTATAATTATATTAATATTATTATGTAATTATTTATCGCGCGTTATTATATAACGAATAAAATTATTTATTACCG